AACAGTGGTGACTTGTGGGGTCTACTCCAGCCTTATGCTCATCTCAATGCTGGACGTATTGCTTCTGGTATAATAAATTGTTACGACAGAGTGTTCACGTTTTTATTATTATTTCTTATTCGAGTTAATCATTTGTTATATTTTAGGTGCCCTCGCAATGCCACGTTGGGCAAGCGTGAGTTCATTGAATTCTTCATCCTCTTCTCGTAGTGGTAAAGAAGCGATAGGATCCACATTGGAACCTTCCTTTCTAACAACATGTATTGGCTCAATGTCCGAACTAATCGAGCTCATATCGAAAGTAGCACAGTCTGGAAGATGTCCAGTACCTTTAACAGCTAAAGCTTTGAATGCTTTGTTCTATTACATGAGGTGTTCCCAAGTACGTAGATGTTTCTCTTATCAAAATCATTTGATCGCGACAATAATGAATTGCTGCGACTATGATCATTTGTCATTTCAGCTCGAACATGGTGAGAGAGGCTCAGGAATACAAGAGTTAGCTTACGAAAGAGCTTATGTCGTTCTTCCACCATTGATCGAGTGGTTACGTATAGCAGCAGCTCATGCCGAGCATCGACATGCTCTTGCCGTCGATCAGGATGACATTAATCAAGCTGCTAGATTACTTTTACCTGGCGTTGATTGTCCGGTTAGACCGATATGGTAAGAAATTTATTTCACATAGATGTAGATATTCGTATTTAATGAAAAAACATAGAGATAAAAGTGAATATCCTATGAATTATTTAACATGAAATATTTCAGTTCCGAGGAAATCACAGTTTGCTCGAAACGTATCGACGACTCCGAGTACGTACGTCTCTTAACAACGGACATGGCTTTTAAAATGTTGACCAGTGGTCGAGGAGAGCTTATAGCACAGGCGATGCCATTGTTACCATCGACGAAAATCAACACTGTCAACGATAGCGGTTTTACCGCATTGATGTTGGCTTGTATTAATGGGGACGAGCAAGCTGTGGCAGCTCTGTTGGATGCTGGAGCAGATTTGAATATCGAGAGTCCACCTCCAAGTACTAGTCAGTCGTCTGGCACTCCATCGAAAGTATCCACCTCGTCGAGTACGGCTATCGTGAGAAGTCCTGTTAATCAGTCGATGATGACAACACCAACTAATAAAAATGGTTCAACTTCGTCACCGGGTGGTACTCCTTGTAGTAATTCGAGTAACGCCTATTACGTTCAGACTGGATTCAATGCTGAAACGCAACACTGGACTGCCCTGACTTATACAGCATTGTTAGGTCACTGTAATATTGCTAGAATGTTGTTGGAAAGAGGAGCAGCTGTAGAAGGTGGTGCAAAAGTCAGCGAAGATAAGTGTACTGTTACTCCATTACAAGCTGCTACTGCATCGGGCAACAACGAGATGGTAGCTTTGCTCTTAGCTCACAGTGCACAACCATTCTTGTCTACTTTGATAAAAGACTCATTTTCTTACACGGGTTCGGCTCAACGTGGTTGCTACAGGTAACAACTTTCTAAACTATCGATGAAATTACTTTTTATATGAAAAGTAAAATTTGAATTAACTGGTTATGAGATAAAACTACAAATGGCGCTTTTATCACAGCGCAGTATCGGTGGCAACAGCACACGGTCAAAGAAGTTGCCTTCATCAGTTGTTATCTCATCCATTAAATTTCTCAGCAAAACGTGGGGAAAAAGAAATCTTGTCTTTGGAGGAGATACTCGCAGAAGGTAATGCGAGTACCAATCCTCAGCAACAAACTGTCGATGGAAAAAATGGTCATAGAGAGGGCAAAGAACCGGTATTTAACAAGTTACAAACGAAGGCACTTCAGGAAGCAATGTATCACAGTTCTGAAAGCAATCATTTAGGTACAAATAAATTGGAATGTTATTTGCTAAGGTGTAGACAATTTAATCGCATTATCGATAAACGTATTTGTTCGTTGTTGCAGACATCACTATGGAACTTCGTGGGTTGAAAGTAGGATGGACTTTACATTGTTGGATGCACAGTCTTGCAACCGCTCATGAAATGAGAATAGATTCGGTCATAGATCAATTACTTCAAGATTTTCTACAAGTTTGTCCCGATGATTATTCAACCCAATTCGTACAGGAATGTTTACCACTTTTATTCAACATATTTCGTTACAGCAAGGTAAATCTTTAAAGTTAATTATCAACAATTAAACTAAAAATATTCTAATCATTTTATATTTATATAGAAGGAAGGTACAACGCTTCTTCTTGCTGATATATTTTGCACATGTTTTGGTTGGGAGCCAATCAAACCAATCAGAGATACAACACTTTCAAGTGGTTCAAGGATAGATCCGAAATTCGTCAACAATCCTGAGCTAAGTGACGTACAATTTAGAGTCGAAGGAAGAGTCTTTTATGGACATAAAATTGTCCTGGTAACATCATCACCAAGATTTCGAAATATGTTAAGTTCTAAATTATGTGAAGGCAATCCACCTATCGTGCAAATCAATGATATTAGATATCACATCTTCCAAGTAAGCAGTAAACGATTATTTTAATTAATTATAATGAATTCATTACACAATATGAATATCATAATTGTTAATACTTTAGATGGTCATGGAATTTCTTTATCACGGAGGATGTGCAACTTTGGAAGTCAATCAGAGCGACGTTTTAGAACTAATGGCAGCTGCTAACTTCTTTCAACTTGATGGTTTATTAAGATTTTGTGAAGCCCAATGCTCAGCAATGGTCGATTTAGACAATATCGTTTCTATGTATATTCATGCGAAGGTATACGTATTATTGAAAATTCTTAACATTGTCAAGGAAGAAACATTAATTAAAATTCATTATTTGCAGGTTTATAATGCAGCTCAACTCTTAGAATATTGTCAAGGATTTTTACTGCAAAATATGGTCGCACTTTTAACGTATGATGACTCCGTAAAACGTTTATTGTTTGCTAAGAAATTACCAAATCATGATGTTCTAGCAGGCCTTTTACTTACTCTACAAGCAAGGATAAAAGCCAGAAGATCTCAACAAGTAAATAAAATTAAAACGTAGAACGTTTTATATTTGCCAAACAAAATGCACTGGAGAATAGTAGCAATTAAAAAAAAAAATATATTAAAAAATAAATAGATTCGTTCTAGTAACTTTTATAAACATATTGTAATTACAATATCAATCAAATGCTGTTTTATACATTCAGTACACATAATTTTAAATATTAATTACTTGAAATGTATATTATATGTACATATCACTTAAAAAATAGAAGAATACTCTCCATTCGCAAACGAATAGGTCGAACGAAGCTAAATTTTATTAATGAATGAAAGATGATTAGTTTTTTTAATCGAAAAAAGTCAAAATTGACATTGACCATAATATTTTTAGTTTATTTTTTAACAATCCAATACGAAAGTTCCTGTATTCGCCTCGGTACTGCACTTCAATCGAGTTATAACACAAATTTTTCATTTGTGATCAGAAATGATGAAGTGAACAAATATATAAAACAATTATATATAATTTTTATATCCAAGTCAATGGCAATTTTATGGCATTTAAAATTATAAGAATGTTGGTAAAGATCTTAAAATAAAAAGCTCGAGCGGGAATAAACAATAAAATGTTATCATTGTTAAAGTGCTATTTATTTAGAATGTTAATGAATATCTTTATGTACAATATGTAGATTATAATCCTAATGATAATGTAATTACTTGGATTTTTGGATCGTGGAATGCCTATAATATAATTATATATGAAATTAGGTTGGATTTTCAAAAAGGGACTATCTCAATTGATTGATAATTAATCATTCAGTATAGCCTTACATATGGCAAATATGCATAACATTCAATAAATCCAAAATCTTTTTGTATTCTCAATGTATAACACGAAACGAAACAAAAAAAGAAAGAAATCACGAGTTATATATATATACGATCCGAATATAAATATATTTATATATAATTGTATGTGTGTGTTGATATATATCTCAAGCACTGTACAAAACCAGCAAACGTAAAATAATCTAATTGAATTAATCCTCAATTAACAAGTAACTAACAGAGCAACGCAAACAACAATTGGAGAAAATGATAGATAAAATATGAGTATATATAAATAAAGATAAATTAATATATATAGGTACTAAAAGAAAAATTTTAAATAATTAATGTAAATATTTTAAGTAATCAGTATAGATATTTCATACTATACAGTCTTATAATCGTGCATAGAATGAAGTAAGTATTCAAATAAATGGCATTTACCTATCATGGCTCTTTTCATTTATGATCAATAATATGATTTATTAATTTATATATGCATATAAATTAATATATAATATTTTTTAGTAATCTTTATACATATCAATTATATATAATAAATGTATGTACATATGTATACGTACACATACAACAATTATATAAATATATATATGTATATTATTGTGTCCGATATAATGGCACAAAAGTTATTACACAAAGAAAAGAACACGTTTCAGCTATATATAGCTTTTAATGATAAACGATGTATCATTATTTGCTTTTAATTTGTTTAAATAATTTGTCATTATTCCTTTTCTATTACTCTTATAAATATGATATCATTTTCCACGAAAATGTATCAACGGGACTATAAACGCATTTGAATGTTCGTTCAATGAATACTTCATATATTTATTCTTTATATAAATTGTTTGTTGCATCTAAAATAACAATCACAAATATTTCTATTAGGTCAGATATTAGAAGATCTGTTCATTGTATTTGCTCTCTTTATTATTTTTTATGTGGTATATTGAGTTTAAAAAACAAATAAAGAAAAGCAGTAGTAAAATACTCTTAAAAAGAATAAAATAATAATGCATAATTTAACTAGGAAAATAATATATATTAGTTCAGAGCAATGTAAAGAAATGTTTAATCTATTGCCATTAAACAAAGGATACAAATAGTTATAAAATCTGAAGTCATAAAACAATGCTAACATTTTTCTTCTTAATTTTTTTTTCTTTTCTTTTTTTTTTTATATAAACTTCATGCATAATCGAATACCCTTCGGCAACAGCAACAGCAACAGCAGGAAATGCCACGCAATGCTTATCTTTATATCTCGAGATTAATAAAAAATATAAACACGATAAAATAATAAAGATCAGGCAAAGCACGAACGAATAATGCGTACTATAAAAAATAACATAAATGATTAATTATTATATATATATATATAGGCTTTAAAATACAATATATTGTTTGTTTTAAAATTTATCACCTTAATTCTTTTTTCGAAGCTTCCAAAATAAAATGTTTTTTGTTTTTTTAATTAATTAATGCTCCCTAACTGTTAATTGATCCTGCAGTTAACTTCGATTTTATTTTAATATGATCTATATTACTATTAATAAAAGATTAATTAAAGATAACGATACATTGAGAGCACAACTCGTAATAAAATTTTCTATATGCTTCTACGTATGGTATTAACAAATATTTTTGGGAACCTAATAAAAAATAAACTAAGTTTTTTCTCTCATAATAATTCAAAATTTACATTAAATCGTTTAAGAGCATATACAAAAAAAAAAAAGAACAAGTCTCTATTCTCTTTCCAGTTCGAATTCAAATATAATAATAACATACCAAAATAATAATAGCAACTTCAACATAGCGATATATCTAAAAATCGTATATTATAATAATAATAATAATTAATTGAGACAGCCCTTTTTGATAAAATCTTGTCACCTATATCAGTTAGGAGCGCTAACTTAATTTAGTGACTAGAATAATAATTACTACAATGGCGACTATAATTGCAAGTAACAAGAAAAGATATACTTTTCGGCGAAACTTGCTTTGGTAATTACTTCCCTTAATTAATTCTTGTGCTCCCAATTCAACATTGCCATAAATATTCTCTATATTGTTATCAACGGTGTCTGAAAAATAATATATTATAAATTAATGAATTAATAATTTCATTCATATTTATGTATACGTATTGTTGCATGATACTACCCTATATGAGTCGCTAGTTACGAAAGGGTTAAAGAAACAAAAAAACCAAGAAAAATACATACTAATAGTGTCTCCTTGTTGATATGCCAATGCCGCAAGTTCTCGCATAATCTGATTTACATCCAATATATCTCCCTCAATGCACTTTATCCTATCTTCTCTCTCCAGCAGTAATCCTTGTTGAAATTCAAGAGTTCTATAGGGAGACAGAAAAAGATATTGATTTTACGTATCCTGTAGATTGTAATAAATATAAAAAATTATTAAATACTGAAAATACCTTAAAAATGACTTACCATACACTCAAGTGCATTTTATAGCTTGCTCTTTATATAAATAATACATGATGGAATTACTTAATCTTTCACTGAAATTTTAAATTTAATCTATTTTCATATTCCTGCTATAAAATCCACAAACTATGACTACTGTATAAAAATTCTAGAAAAATAATCCTACAGAGAGACAATTTTTGTACAACTACACAAACGATAGGTTTAATAAAACACTATTATTAATTGAATCAGTTTCACTTTCGCTGAACTAAAAGTACGAATAAATAGAGCATATCAAAGTTAAAATGACTTTTAAAATTAGAAGAAGGACAAGAAAGGAAAAGAAAAAAAAAAAACATCATATTCAAACCTTTGTGTTGTTCTGCGTTCATCATCTTGAATTTGAAGCAAACTTTGCCTTTCTCCTTCGTCATCGCCTTCGGAAATATTTTCTACATTACTGGTAATCAAAATATGACTCTTCATTTTTTCAGCAATCGACTGCAAAGTGTATTACATTAATTAAAATCGTATAACGATATTTAAATACAGTAGAATGTTATACCACTGGCATGATATTTTAACACTTTACTGACCGCCCGCTCGCCGCATATACTCTCAAACGACGGTTGTTTTTCGGTAAGCGTGGGCAATAAAAAGCTGATTAATAAGCGATCGGTCAGTAAAGTGTTAATTTGTTAAAGATATTCAAACAATTCGTACCATTTGCATAGTTGAATACCGTTGCAATGCATCTTTAAAATCAGTTGTTAACTTTTCAATTTGCAATTTTTGTTGTTTGTCACCTCGCCTCATTAACACAGTAAGTCTTGCTATATCTTTGCTGGTTTGAGTTACGACTTGATTTGTAATGTATTGCGTTTCGTGTCTAGATAATAATAGTATATAATTAATTATGAATTATGATATAACAAATATGAAAGATATAGTCAAGTTAGAAATTTAACGTACACTTTATCCCTGAGTGCTGTGTTATCTTTGTTTGTTCCAATGTTTTTGTATGAACGTTCGAGAGTTCTCCAGCTTGTATTAATTGTATATATATTAGTAGTTATATTCTCACTGAGATTATAAAGTTCAGTAGGACTAAATCCTACATCAGGTACATCAGTCCGCTGGTCCGTGGACCCATAAGTTTGAGAACTGTGAGCCATTCTGTAATAACAAATTTATTACACCATAAGTTTATATATTACTCAGAAAAATTTAAATATAAATTTAAAAAATATTTAGATACAGAAAAAGAAACCATTTTACATAGAAACTGAAGACTATCCATTTATTCAAACACAAAGGTTAATTATCTTTTGTTACCATGATAGTTCATTAAGCAATATAACATATCATTACAACAATTTAAGGTAATTACAAAGAACAAGATACAGTAACCATGTGTTTTATATTACTTTATTGTCATATATATCACTTATTAATGAATTTAATTATTGCAACAAAAAATGTAAAAGAATTGGAACATCCAATTATTATATTAGACAAATTAATGGTTTTAATGATAAAGTAGAAACCTTTTTTAGAAATTAATTAATATAAATTAATATGTGTGCATATAATATAAACAATATTTAAATATCTCGAAAAGAGATATATCGATTGCTCGTGCAGCTTCAAAATATCAGAACAATGATTGTATGATATGTGAAGATATTTTTAATACAAAATTTGCTTAAGTAAAATCCAAATTATTTTCTAAGTATATCGCCTTAGAAAATAATTAGTTAACATCATAGAAATAATCGTACATGACAAACCAATATACTCTGCTCCTAGTGAAGGTACATTAACATGAGAATTTATTCAAACTTATAGAAATAAATGTCGTGGATTAATCGATAAATAAAATCTAACATACCTGAGTAGATTTATCACAGGTATTCTTAATATCTATAATAGAAATTGTCCCGTTGTTTTACATTTAAAAAAAAACGAGAGAGAGTTATCTCCGCGTACCGAACTTGGAAAATGACAGTTGCCTAAACGATCTAATGCACCGGCCATGTGACACTAGTCCCTTTGTATCCAAGAGACGTTTCTTTAGTTACATGACTGTTTTACCGACGCGACAATTTTTTTGTTTCTTTAATCGTATGCAATTTTGTGCATAGGAAAACGTTTTTAAATTCATTCAACGATATATTGCATTTATTTCTCTAGATTTGAATTTTTATTTTTCATTTCAAACAAATTGTGAATAGTATTAAAGAAACTAGAGACTCACTGAAGTACTACCGAGATCAATAGCAACTCGAAATACACATCACGATCACTAATAACTTATCCTATCGAATTAATTCATACAATAAAATAATTGAAATTAAATAGGAATTAAGATAAATTCAAACTAATTAGAAATACGTAAATAATAAAGAAAAAGAATTGACCGTTAAAAGTTTATTTGTCAGGATATGGCTAAACTACCGTCCAGCATAAATCATCACCAACGTAGTCAAGTTGAAGTTGAAAATATTACTAAGAGGTAATAAAAATTATTGAAAATTTTGACTAAAAGTAATATAAATGAAAAATAATAAAATAAATAATGATTAAATAATTTCGATAGACATAATAGGGATTAAAAATGAATAAAGATAGTAAGTTCGTAGACGTTGAATTGATTATTTTATCGTACGGAAGTACCCGAGTACAACCGACAGATTGCGAAAGTCTTCAGAAACAACAACCGTCGTCGCCCGTAAGTAGACGCTCAAACGATATATTTCCTTTTACTTTAGTTATAAGAAGGAGCAATCTGAAACGGGTCGTTTTGAGATACGTTAAAAGGCGTTGGTGTCGTGTCTACTTAATTTCCAACGTGTCGAGTGAATTCCATCAGGGACATAAAACGTGTAGAAGATTGTAGTAAAGGTAGGAACGAACTTTCTCGAGGCTTGCCGATGCCTCTTCGTTTATACCAAAAGATGTATATATATACATATATAGAAAGAGAAGGAACGAACGAACTTTAACGATGGCGCCTAGTAAATTGGACAAAAAAAAACGTTTACCAACAATTTTCTTCTATTCGATTTGTTAAAAACTCGTGCACCATTATCGGGCTTTGCTCCATTTCCTTCTTTTTTCACTTTCTCCAGTGTCTCCTGCTTACTTCGTCCAACATTTTTATTCCGTTTTGTCTTTCTTTTTCTATTTCCTCGAATCAATTTTAAGATATATATCACGCTTATTTTATCAATGAGTAAACCGCGATTGATACACGATAACGACTGCCTTTTGTCGATTAAACTATCGAATGTATAGTTTCGATTGCTCGTAGGATGCCACTGCCTTTTGTTTTCTCGATTGGTAAAGTGCATTAAACTCGTGAGAGAGAGAAAAAAAGCAAGTAATGATATGTGAATGGGTGTGTGTGTGTATGCGTGTAGGAAAAAGAGAGAGAGAAAGAAAGAAAAAGATGAAGAAAGGACGCTAAACTTTAAGCTGTTTCATGCACCCACGCAATACTTGACGTAGTTTACTTCCACGAATTTCTCTTCCCCCCCCCTCTCTCTCTCTCTCTTTTTCTTTTCTTAGAACAAATAATCGTACGTTCATTGAAATAAAGAAGAATCAATAAAATATTTTTGTACATTGTCAAATTAGCATTGTTTAAAAGAAAAGTTTGATAGTAAGAAATTATGTTAATGTAATGTACATGTTTTCTCAAATATTTCTTCTGTAAATTCCGAGGCCAACTTAACCAAAATTCTTTAAAACGCCCTCACATGGTCGTCATCGTCATCATCTCGCTGGCTTTGCTTACGAATGCTGCTTTTTATCGTTACAAAAGAGCATGATAGAGAGAGAGAGAAAGAAGATTTCATCGACTTCGGTGATAGGCGGGGCAAGACGAGATGAGACGAAGAGAAACGAAGCGTCGTCGTCATCATCGGGTTGAGACGACGCTTGGCTTACGTCAAACGCGTTTGCTTACTATAGTTTATGTATAGTAATCTATAGACCCTTCTCTTTTTCTATCTCGATCTCTTTCGAGTGTTGCATACTTCAGTTAGGTAGGTACAAGGATAAAAAGAAAGCAAATTATCTCGAGTGACAGAAACATTTCGATCGCATTTCTCTCACATTTATTTCGATTATCTCGACATACTTATATTCTTATTTATTCGAGAGACATTCTTTCTTTTTCTCTCTTTTTCTTTATTTTTTTTTCCTGTAGTAAAACAAATCGGCCTTGGCGTGTTGCTTCGTGCAAGACCGTAAACAGCCGTGCAGTATTCCACACGTTTCTCACTTCATACCGTTCATCGATCATTAGCTTTGCTCTATACGCGTGTGCACGCATGTAAAAAGAAAGAGAGGGGGAGAAAGATAGATATGGATGATGGCAGACTAGTGTAGTTAGGTTGGCAGTACTGACAAAGGTATGTAGTGGGGGCAACCCGAACGTTCCCGACAAATGCGTTAGCGTAGACTCGCGAGTTCTTCTTCGTCCTTCGAACCTGTTTAACTTAGGTGCGTGTTACTCCTTTCTTTTTATTATTTTTATTGTTTTTTTATTATATACTTTCATATTTACATTTATATTGATTCACATTGTATGTCTCAACATCGACAATTTCACATTTAGTGAGTTTTAAACATTAACGAACATTATGAATATTTGTAATTTATTCCACATAATCGTGTGCTAATGATTAATAGGAATGACTCAGTATTTCAAGTGAATTGATAATTCAACATTTTCGTATCTATTTAAATATGTCTTTTCATTGAAATTAATTAGTATCGTCATAAATATTTCGTCGAGAGAGAAAGATAGAGATAGATAGATAGGACAATGGTGGGTAAATCCTAACTGTTCATTGGGAAATTTTCCTTCCAACGTTTTACTATTACCATTGATGGTATCCTAAAACAATGCATCGATCCATTTGTATTAGTTCGTTAAAAACCGATGCATGTACAAGTTGATTTATGTAATTTCAAATCCTTTTGCATTTATTTAATACTTTTTAACACTAATGAAATAAGAAAAATCATTTCTTAGGTTTTTTTCAGTAAGGTTAAAAGGATTTCATTGCTGCATTTTAACTTTTATGTGTGCATAGCTATCAGAATAATCATTCTTGAAATATTATCTATTTAAATTATTTCTCTTAAATTTCGTAATTTTTACTTGTTGACCTTATCTTAAAGTTTATTTTCTAAGTGCATTCCTACAAGGTTGGCAATAGACGTGCCTCTTAGGACGAGGAAACGTAGAATTGTTACGGTACTTTAAAGGCCAACTTCCAAGATTACCGTTACTTCACTGAAATTATTCGTCATTGTGCAGTTACCCTTGATGTTATTTCATTCCTTCGTTATTTTATTAAAATCTTGTCTATTTCTTTTCTTATTTTTAGTTTACATAGATGATAAAAACTAGTATCGAAAGAATTAGTAGTGTTGTTCGATAAAAACAAGCGGTTGGCAATGATATTTTTTTTAAAGTTCGAGACCTCGCTTTTGTTGCTTGTACTTTCTAGAATCGGGTCATGACAAAAGAGAGAGAGAAGCCCGGTTTCACAATTCACCTTTTGCAACAAAGAGTATCGATTTTATCGACTGATTTTACTTACCTCCGCTATACAACACACGCCATGGCACAATTATTTCAACCGTGTTTGCTAAAAAATATGTCTACGAACAAAAAAATCGAGAACTGTTGCACATCAACAACAATCTAAACACAATTAACAAGATTATATAGAAATAACAAATTCAATGAAACATAAGAAGTTTGAAATTAGTTTAAAAATGGCGCCATTTCTAAAGTGATTTTTTTATTGGTCGATAAATTCAGCTGACGAGGAACGCGAGGATGTATCGAATATAAGAGAAACAAGCCCAGTCGATATAGGTAATTACTTGATTGGCGAGGTAGTGTGGCTATTTTTAAAGCACATTCGTAAGGCTAAATACACCAAAGCGGCGGCCCTGTACTTGTTCTCGTAGATCTAATTTTGGATATCGGGAAATTTTCTCGAATACGTATTATTTTATTTTCAATTCTTTGTATCTATCTCTTCTCTGTTCTCATCATCGATCATCGAGTCTCTATGATTCTAACTTCCAGTCTCGAGTAACTCGACCCTTCCACCGGATGAACGTCATGCATCGTTAGACCGAACGATTGCTTTCCTCCTGTCCACTGTGTAGTTGTCGTTATTGTTGCATTCGCAATTTCTCATCCTTTACTATCAAACATTTAAAATATAATAGGCTAACATCGTTAAACCGATAATAATAGTAATCAAACTTTGTATCTTCAAAGTTCGTTTCCAAACAGTGCTAAATTTCGTGAGATATCATTGGGTAGTTTCTATGCAATAGCATAGCGAAAGTTGCTGCAAACCAATGCGATTCGAACTTGGGTAACGTAAGCGATAACAATTGTTAGTTTATTTCTCGTATATTACTGCCATAAAAAACTATCGTTCAATGCACAAAAACACATACGTTTGTTTTCTTGTCGACTCTTTATTCTTCTTTCTTTTTTGTTATAAACAAAGATAAAAGATTATTGATCGAAGTGTGTTTTTTTTCGATAACAAAGAAAAAAAAATGAAAGGTTCTTTGTACCAGTTCGTTATCTCACGTTATCTGGTAATGCAAGCCAGACGCGGCATATGATTCATACCACTGTCTATCGAGTTACTTTCAGTGGTCTTAAGTTAACGCTGTTTTATATTTGATACTCGACTCAACGATAGTTATGCAGCTGACATATTAAAACTGCAATCGTTAGTAAAAATAATATATTACTTTAGTCCTTTGTTATTCTGATAATAAGCAATTAAATTGAATCAACAGTTATAACATATTCGCGTTCTCGGTAAACGTTCATTAATTTTCTGTATTTACAATTCGATTTTTTTTTTTTAGATTGCATTCAATATAATTGTAATAATTAGAAAGCATTGTAATCTTAAAAGATCCAATAACGATCTTCCGTGAGAGGCTGGGTTTAATGAAGCGGCCATTTTGTGACACAGATCGAATCCTTGACTCGAAGCACCATCTAGGAGTAATTCGCAAAAAGTTTCATGGTACTGTGTACTTTGGAACAATTAAAAAAAAAAAGAAAAAGACATTATTAATGATCAATTAATGAGACTATTAATCAGAAATGAAAAAATAAAATTAGGTCATACATTAGCGTCGATAAAACATGAGTCCTTTGACATGACATAGTCATGGTTTTATCTATAGCCAAGGTATATAGACAGAAATTAAAAAAAGAAGAGATCTGATTCGATCGATTTAGTTATACATATCCATTCTTGGGAAACCATATGACGGTTTCTCTGATCGTTCAAGGAACGAAAAAAGCATGACGTTTGACGTGTACGTTAGGTAAATACATACAACATCCATATATACATGGCCTCTTTGTCACGGTGGATTTAACAAACGCTCATCCGACTATGAATAGACGCACTGATTTCCTTTCAGTTCGCTAGAAAGACTAGTTTACGCCTATGCACGGTATATGACATGGCTACCAGGGTCATAAGCTTGTCCCAGTTTAAACTTTTTCTACGATTCCTTGTTAATAGCTTATCTAATTGCAAAAAGAAAAATATTACTAATTGTAAGACAATATATATTTGATAAAATATTAGCTATTTAGAATTTGGTTATTATGTTTAATTGTTTAATTAAAAAAATAAGTAGAACTATAGTACGTTAATGTAATGAAAGGCTTAAATTCTCATTGGACTTATAAGAAAGTAGTCTCGTTTTTGACCATGAACGGTGCAAGGAGGTTGCGCGAAAGGCGGAGAGTGAGAGGATCGATAGCGATGAGGAGGTTATCGATTGGAACGTTTCCTAATGTCATGGACGAATTTAAACGTGTCTCGTTCGAGACACGAGGGCAATGTGTTTAAAAAACACTTTCGTTCTTTCCAGATGATGCGATGTTTATATTAGTCACACGTTCTCCAAATCTTGTTCCATAAAATAACGTTATCATCATAAGAATCGATCGATGAGAATGGGAACAGGGAATATGTGCGCGGACGCACATTTGTTTCTCAAATCTGTAGGTCACGAAGAATTCGACCTGTTTTTTTATTGCTTAATTTACTAGCAAATTTTGTCTTCGTTGAATTACATGGAAATGTTCTCTTAGTAGTCGGTAGAAATCTGAAAACAAAAAAATGTAGTAAGCATCGTCAGATATTAAAAATGGCTTAGGCATCGAGCGAATGGCAAAGCAACCCCTCTGCTTTGGCATTTCCGTCCACCCCTGAGACAGGCAGCAGCAGCAGCCTCCTCCCCACAACTTCCCCTCGACTGTGCAGAGAAGAGGCGTTGCCCTGGCGCTTTAACCGCTTCACCACCGATCCTACCTCTTTCACCCCCTTATCCGAAACAACTCCCAAAAGCGTTCTGTCTTTAAAGAGTCTAACCCAAGGAGCAGCCAGACTTCGACGCGTAAAAATAGAATTTTGTGTTTTTAGAAAGGAGAGTCCTGGAAAACAGAAATTTCGTTTCGTGCATTTTTTTTACCGCTCACCTCCCTCCCTTGAAGGTTCTTCTTTAAATAAATATCTTTCGAAGCCATCGGTTAGATATTTTTATTCGGTATACGCGTTTAGCTGCTCTTCTAATCGAATTTAATTCACTGTAGAAAACTTTTTGTGAAGTATCGCTCATCCGCTTGTATCTTGATAAAGGTTGGCAACCCTGCTTGCGTAGTTGGATGGAAACGGATACGCGTTAGTACGTGTAAGAGAGAACGCTTCTTCACACAACGACACACCGCAACGATGGTGGAGAGAGAGAAAAAAGAGTAAAAGAGATGTAGTCTCGCGAGGAATATCCATGGAGGGAAGAAGACAAGCAACCTTCCTTCCTTCTTCTACCTTTACGTCATTCCATCGCTATCTCTTTGTCTCCTATATCGCCGACACACAAGCTTCTCTTTTTCTCTCTCTCGTTGCCTATCCCCACCTTTTTTTTTATGTACCATGATTTCTCAAGGACCACTTCGCTCGAAGCTGCGGTCTTCATTCTTCTACCTCGAATGTTATTCCGATTTAAATTTTTCCCAGTCTTTGAACAAATCTCTACCATCTTTTCTCTCGTCAGACCGGTTGGTTGATATCTCATTCTGGAATTTTCAATCGTTTGTTAGGAATTACCAGAACCTTGTTATATACGACTTATATGATTTTAGTGTCACCTTGTATATCTGAAAGTAAACGTAGATGCAAGTATAATAATCCGATGCACATTTTTTAACCATATTGAGATGATCTAGTTAGCAATCTAGTTTGATTTATTTGCATAAGATTCATTTATAAAAAATGATAAACCACCAGTAGGTGAAAGTATTTTTATATTTAAAATGAGATAAATTCATTAAAGAATTCCATTTTAGGGTTTCGAGGAATCTCAATTGCATTGCGGAGACGAAGAAAACTTTATTATTATGCTTCTCGTTGGCATTCTTTTAATCTTTATTTGGTATCGCTTGCAAAATGATGTCGCACGTCATAGAGTTCTGTATATATTATCACGTGCATATCATTGACGACAAAATTAACCTTACCTCTTTATTTTCCACGTCATTGGTTTCTTCAGCTAAAAAAGAAAATGTACGATTTAAAATGTTTTTAATATCCAACGTAAATTTCGTACTAAGATCTCAAGGTACTCACCTCAAATAGTTGAAAAATAATCATTCCACGTGCGTGAATGCATGTTAACAAATAATATTATTGCATATCTAAACGATGCTAAAATAATGCATTCATATGTTGAAATTATTTATTCTAGATGTCTCTCTTTGTTGCTGCATTGCATACATTATATACATTGCATTTATTTTTCATGGAAACTGCATAAATGCAGACAAACTTTATCGTATTACTCGGCCAACGGAAGTGCAAAATTAATTGTTGCGTTAACATACGACGCTTGAATGATAAATCTGTACACGTGCGATATCTTTTTTCCAAGTTCTCTTATTTCTTATTCGAATTCGAAGGTTCTTCATCAGTTCTTTTTATTTATTTATTATCATTTTTTATTCTTCTTGTTTCGTGACAGCGTCACGTATCGATTAATTGAAGCTCGTAATGGCGATCGATTAGAGCGCCAAAATTTAAATAAGCTTCTTTTCTTTTTGGAAATATAATGTTACTAGATATGCATGTGGCTGAAATTGTAATAGAAATTTTGCTTTGTCATCCTTGTCACACGATAAATTATAAATTAATTGGACGTGTGGCAATCGTTGTGTTATGTGTATCAAAAAATTCTTTGTCTAGTTAAGGAATTCCTCGTAAGAAAATGTTCGAAGTTAAGAAGATGTTTTTATCTCGAGAAAAAGATGAAGAGAAGAAAAGAGAAGAGAAAAGAAGATTCAACCTCAGTTAGACTCGTACAGGGCGTTGTACTCTGATGCGCTTGCACTTTGCAATAGTGCGTGCATGTGTGTATATGTTTACTAATAGGAGAATGCGAAGAGTTCTATATACAGAGGATTTAAATAAATTACTATAAACTGTTATACAGGCACACAGGGATCACTAGATCAAATAATTTTTGAGGCATCAATTTCGGTTATCCAATGAGGATCATTGGATAAATTTGTACAAAAATCTTGAGGTAGAGAGAAGTGGGCGCTGAGTGTAGCTACGGATTGGAAAGCTAACAAAAAGGTGTAGAGTTCGGTTAGCAAAAGCAAGCAAACAAGCGCACTGAAGATTTACTTTTATCACGATAAAATATGCATTTCGTACCACGATCATTCGCAAGCCCGGGGTAATCTTGGTGTCATGGCGATCAGAGCCGGTGGAAGCCGAAGGGAGCCGACCTTCGCCGAACGAACGAAGGCCGGGATGGCCTCGGCGAAATCGGCCGAAGGGGTGAACCGAGACCGACCGAGGTGGAACGAAGGAAGAAAGGAAGGAAGGAAGAGGTCACTGACCGTCTGACCATGAGCCGCGCCCCATATACACATCTATTCTCTTCTCCTATATTATATGCTTCTCTTCTCTTCCCATTTTTACTTTATAGAAGTACGACGAACCATGTAGGGACATTTTGTTGGGGATCAAAGTTGTTTTCTGCTTACTTCAAGTTTAATCGAAAGTCTCTAGTCACTCTCTCTTTCTCTAATTTCGTGACCAATCATTATGTGTTCTGTGGAGATTCTTCCTCTTCTTTATATTAGAGGCTTCTCTCCAGGGTATATCCTTCGTCTTCTTACTCGTACATATCAAATACCAGAAGCCATTTGATCATCTCTTTTGTAAGCCGAAACGCTTACTCATTCTATTCGCCTTCTCTCTTTCTTTTAGTTACGTAAAAGTTCGTCAAATTGTTTTTTAAAACTGATTTGTCTTTTTTAATATTGCACATGGATTTAAAAAAATGATCAAACTAGCGCCACCTACGGAACAGTGGTTCTCAAATTCCTTTATTGATCTATTTCAGTCGGTAATTTTCTACTACGATATACAAATAATTGAAAGAAGAAAATAGATAATTAAAACATTACAAGTTATTCACTATCAATGTTGTTAGATTCTTCTCGATCATTTCTTAAGATTATCGTTTATCTAAAGCAAGCTGGTAGTTCTCATTGAATAGAATCATCGATAAGATTTAATTATTGTTGAATTCTTATTTTTAAGGAATTTACCTTACCGACTCCGCCATTCCGCCATTTCAGTTTTCTTTTTTAAATAGCAGGAAATGTTATGTTATATTTCAATTGTAAAAATAATATCTAATAGATGTATTTAGAAATATGTTTGCGTTTTGTTTTAGCTTTCTAAAAGAAGTTCTGTATGCTGTGATTTATCACTCAGGGGGCCAAACTACGCGCAACAACGGACAACCCCACAGGACCGGGGGGTGCTTCTCGTGTCTCGGGAGGAAGGTCAGGGTCTACAAAAGTTACGCCTTGACAGTAACAATCATACACGCGAGCTGCTTAAAATTACACCGAAAAAAAAAAAAAAATCAAAACAAAAAAACAATCCTTCGTGTTGCATTGTTGTTTGTAACACCGAGACTAAAAAAATTCGATGCCTTCCAGGGACGATATTCGCTCCCTATCCACTGAGCAACGCTGGATACCTCCTTCGACTGTTAGACGCGATGCACTCACCCCAGAAAGCAGAAATGATCTCATCTTTAGAAAGGTGCGGGGTATTCTTAACAAACTTACACCGGAAAAGTTCGCAAAGCTGAGCAACGATCTGCTCAATTTTGAGCTCAACTCCAATGTAATTCTCAAAGGTGTCATATTCTTGGTAAGTAGATTCTTCAATCGATGCATTTAGATTATAAAACTCTGCTTATCGTAGATATGCACATTATGTGTGTGTGAAATGATATGTGTATATGAAATGTTGTACATATGATATCGAGACAATTTTTCAGATCTTTGAAAAAGCACTTGATGAGCCCAAGTACAGTTCTATGTATGCACAGCTGTGCAAACGGCTGTCCGACGAAGCTGCAAACTTTGAACCTCGAAAATCGATCATTGAAGGTCAAAAAGCTCAAAGTACATTCAGATTACTCTTACTTAACAAGTGCCAGGACGAGTTTGAAAATCGTTCGAAAGCAAGCGAGGCATTCGAAAATCAGGATGAACTTAGCCCATTGGATGAACATCGCCGGCAGATCGCCAAGCGCAAGATGCTTGGCCATATCAAGTTTATCGGAGAACTTGGTAAACTCGGCATCGTGTCGGAATGTATTTTACACAACTGCATCCAAGAATTGCTGCAAAAGAAAAGGCGAAGGGGATCCGGGGGGTACAACGCTGAGGATATCGAATACCTTTGCCAGATTATGCGTACCTGCGGCCGTATCCTTGACTCGGATAAAGGCCGCAGACTTATGGATCAATATTTCACACGTATGAACCTCTTGGCAGAGAGCGGAGATCTTCCTTTACGCATTAAATTTATGCTGCGTGATGTCATTGAACTGCGCCGTGATAATTGGGCACCACGTAAGGCCACTACCACCGAGGGTCCGATGCCTATAAATCAAATCCGCAATGATAACGAAGAAACTTCGAGGGGTAATGGCTTCCATAGACGAGAGGATCGCCTCGGAGCTGAGTTCTTAAGAAAGATGGGTCGTGGCGGATTAGAAATGGACATGGTGGGAAGTATTCCTCTAACTTCCCCTTCCTTTGGCATGCCGTCTCCATTCAGTCCGAATGGATTCTCTACTACTCCCGGAGTTGGTTATGGTCGTCATAATCAACGTAATCAACCAGGATTTTACCAGAACCAGAACCGTCACCCAAATAACTTCCAAGGAAAACACAATCAGCAACAGCATAATTCATCTCAGAATTTCAATAATAGTATGCAATTCGTTTTTATATCTCTTCCTTCTCTTTTACTTTAGGATTATTATTAATTATTATTTTCCCCGATTAACAGATAGTACTAAGGAACTTCGCTTTAATAAAAACAAAATGCTACTTGGACATCCTGAGGAAGTGTCCCTGAGACCTTCGGCCAATTCTATGATGTTTAAGCAAACCAACATCAATCCTAATCTACCATTGAACAGCGGTAAGCTTTCTGACAAATCATCATTATTATATATTAAAGTGTAGTAATAATTGATAGTGATATTAAATATAAGAATGGTTAGATTTGTTCCCAGGACGAACTTCGGATCTACCACTATTGCGTACTGCCACATTGAAACCCAGTTCGCCTTTATTACATAAAGAAGCGCCTCCTTCGATTATAATTAAACAGGGACCTTTAGATAAAAGAGAAAAAGCTCGTGAAAAGAAGGATAAAGGTCCTTCCAAGGAAGAAATCTTAAAGAAGGTCAATGCCTTGATGGATGATCTTGCTAATCATACTAATATTCAGGATGCTATAACAGCCTTCAAAGATCTGAAGATACCGGAAAGATTTTTGCGTCATGCTATTTGTACTATATATTCGAATACATTGGATCGCGGTGACTCCGAACGAGATCTAGCAGCCAAGCTTGTATTCGAATTAAAAAAAGAAACTATTATTAATGCACAACAATTACACGAAGGCTGGAAGGAATTGGTGGCCAGTATACCAGAAAAAGAGAGCGTGCCTTGTGTAACATCTCATGTTGCTCTGCTAACAGCCAAGGCCATAGTGGACAATCTAATACTGTTAACAGATCTTACTTCTGTAACAGAAAATGGCCAATATCATCCACTGTTTTTACTGACGCTTCAACAACTACATCGTACTCAAGGAAAAGCAAAACTCTTGCAAATTTTCAACAGCAGTAAAGTTAATTTGATCAGTCAGTTACCGGAAGCAGACAAAACGAAAGAAAGACTAGGAGAGATTCTCGAGGATCGAGAATTAACATTCTTGTGTCCACTTCTAAGGATCCAAGGAGATATGTGGCGTCAAATACAAACGGACCCAACTCCAAACGCACTTTACAAATGGATTAAGGAAAAATTAGATCCGTTGCATTACTGCGATGCCGCGTTCATTAACGCACTAATGAATGTCCTTCTTAAATACATAACTCAGGTTAGTAGATCGGAAAATATTTTGTTAATATTTTTAATACGATGATGCGTTATGAGAATTTTATCTGTTTGAAATAGGAAACAACATTGGCACCTGGTGTCGACAAAACTCAGTTTCCTGACAAAGATTTGGTACAAAAGGAACGTACGTTGTTGCGTAAATATGCTGGCTTTCTTGACACATTCCTTCACGCCCTTGAGTCGCAAGTTACAGCTCTCCATGCATTACAAGTCTTTTGCTATTCGCAAAACTTTCCTAAAGGGATGCTGAGAAGATGGTTTGTGGCACTTTACGATTTTGGAATCATCGAAGAAGATGCCTACAGTAAATGGAGAGAAGACGTCACTGATGCTTATCCTGGCAAGGGTGAAGCATTGTTCCAGGTAAGAAAGAAAGAGAAAAATATAATTATACTTGAATTTAATCTTTAATATAATCTCCCATCACCTTTCTCTCCTTCATAAGAAATATTTTCTGTTAGCAATATCTCCAAGTGTCTCTCCATATGTGTAAGATGTGTATTAAATGTGTGCTGTTATTAAAGCATGTAATTTAGGGTAGACACGAAATGCCAAAGTGTTATATACAAATAATTATTATCTAGGTATACCGTTGGTTGCTCTGGCTCGATAATGCAGATTCCGAAGAAGAGGAACATGAAAATGATGAAAGGAATTAAATAAGCGAAGGCCCTGAGAAAAAAAAATGTTTTTTCAGACACCTATAATTTGGAATAGGGTTTATATTATATCTATATTACTGAACCACAAAAGGGGCTTCAGTTTCACTGAATTGAGTTATCTCCACTCAGTACTATCACGACATCTTGTTAGTCTGTCGAGTCTCTCGTATAAAAAAAAAAAGGCTTTCTAGACCATGTCCATCATTTTTTTTTTGGATATGTGACAGCCTTTGAGATAATTATGGCAGACCCCGTAAAACAAGAAGTTATAGAAGATTTTAGATAATTGCATATTAATATGATTTATATTAATATTGGGTCAGCAGACATCATTAAACGCCGTTTTGGTTACCGGCGTATAAATGAAATGAAAAAATGAATTGAAATGAAATGAAATGAAATGAAATGAAATGAAATG